GGCGGGGGGGGGGAGCACCGAGAAGCGGCTGGAGTTGGGAGGATGCGGCGGCAGCGGCGGCTGCAACTTCGCCGAAAACCCAGGGAGAGAGGCAGAGGCTGCCGGCGCGGGGAGGGATCAGGTTGCGGTAGAATTAAGCTCCGTAGGCGAACGGGCGCTCGGAGCAAAGTGCGGCTGCGAAAGGAGCGAGAGGGGGATAACCGTGCCCGGGACGGAGGCGGAGAGACGGAGCGGCGGGCGGCCCCGCGGGAGCAGAGAGCCGGACGGGAGGCGCAGGGGGGACGGAGGAGCTGCCCGCCGCCGTAAGGAAGATCGGAAGGCGCCGAGCTGCCATCGCCCGGACGCCGCCCGGGGAACCGAGGGGACGGGGAACGAGAACCTGTTGGCGGGGCGAGCTCCGGCGTGGGACGGTTCCGGCGTCCCGCCCGCCGCCCCGCCGCTTCCCTCCCGTACAGTGAGGGGCCAGCCCAGCCGTGCCCCTCACCGCGGCACCTGGGGATACGCCCGGTGGCTGCCGGGGGGAGGTATGGAAAGCAAATGCCAGCCCTGGGTGACTTTCCGGGGGGACACAGCCGCAGGTGACAACAGCTCCCGGCTTTGGGGCTCACGCCACCTTCCAGGGCTGGCTGCTGTACCCTGGCCGTACATACGTTCCTGTGCGAAACGTATGTATAAACGGGCATGTGTGTGTACCGGAGATTTATATATATATATATACATGGGGTTTGATTTATATATAATAGCACGTATAAAGCTTTTCAAGGTGGCTGCAATGTAAAAAGTAATGACTTTATTACCCCTGAAAGGTTCTGTGGTTCGCAGTTAACAGTCCTCTGAATTACAATTCATTACGCAGTTGTGCGCTCTCTGAAGCCAACCTGCATGAGAATACCTAGCTGTGGTTATTCCCGATAAATAACAGGCAACATTTCATTGATATTCTTTAAAAAATCATAGCAAATTAAGCACTTAGTTACAACTAAATCTGTTTTATTATCGTACCGCGTTTGAGATTCCAGAGGTGACTTCCCAGACCGCATCTTAAAACCTACAGTCAGGAGCTAATTTTACAGATGCTTTCATGAATGGCAGCGAGGATGTTCCTACCATTAGCATGCCCTTAATTCCAGCACCGTAAAATGCCTCGAATTAAATGGAAACTCGCTGCCTTAAAAACAATATTTCATCCTGTCTGGATAATTATTAATGTTAGCATTTGATCGCAATACTGCTGTGCTCCCCCCATCCCGGTGTCCCCCCCCCCGCCCCCCCCCCCCCCCCCCCCCCCAATTTCTCTAATCCCTTTTTATACTGTTGGAAAAGGCACCCGATTTCCCCACCTCGGTGTCCTCAGAGCCCCCCCAAAGTGCCCCGTGTCCGTCACCGATGTATTCCCAGGTGCTCAAGGTACCACGTCCTGCTCCCTCCCCAAAAGCCGCTCTCCCCGGCACCCCCTGCACCCCGGGATGTTCTTGCCTTTGGGGTGAGGGGGTGCAGGCTCAGCCCCACAACCCGTCACAGAATCACAGAATCACAGAATCT